AGACGCAGAATGAAGTGAATGTGTCGAACGTGAGCAAGCGATGAAATCAAGAAAATAATCCAGTTTACAGACAGATTGAGGAGTGTTTTCCGTGTGTGACAGTAGTATTTCGTGTTGGAGCCTAGGGCGACGCCTGCAATCTGTACTGAGGTGCAGTTGTGACATCAGCGTCTTCCGAGTGATGCTTTTAAGTACACCTTCCTTAGTTATCTGACTCTTTAATTCTATTTCGGTGGTTTAGGACTAAGCCGCTGTACTTCTATCCCTTGCAACCACTGCATCCTGGCAATTTGGGCGCTTCTACCTAAAGGCAGTGCGTTTAAATGATCAGTCTCCATAGAAAGTTGTTCCTCAGCACACTGAAACCAGGTGCTCTATATTTTTTTCGTAAAGTAGGCCCGGACTTTTTGTCCAGAGCAGTGTTGGACAAAAGCATCTGTTCTTTTTGTGAAATTTCGACAGGTGCCTTGCGTCGCATATTTTAAGTTGGTATAACTTTTATAACTAGTTTTCACGAAAATCTTTTAATACTGCCCCCAGATCGTCGCCCTCTCCCTTTTCTATGTAGCGTTTTTTTTTGGTAGCAATGTTAGCCGCACCGCTTCAGCGGTTGCTTGAATCATCTCTCTCAGCCGAGCCTCTGGTAGTTTTAATTTCGCATTTGCTCTTGCGACTATTATATTTCCCTCTCCTCACAATTTCCTTTTCTACGTTTCTTTTTTTCTTAAAGGAATAACGGGACTGTTAAGTTTTTGACAAAGGGTGACAACAACGCCGTTGATGACCGAGGGCTCTATGCTTCTGGCCAGGATTGGCTGGAAAGGAAACACGTCATGGGCCGTGCCAAAGGGTGCGCTTTTTCCCTCACATTATTCTCAATCTTTCATTCACTATTTTCGATTCACCAAGGTCACTTACGATCACTTAACTTTCACTTTTGCCTTTTTCTTTTAGTTTTCTTCCCTATATCGGAATGGTGACCATCATTATGAACGACTACCCCAAGTTCAAGGTTGGTTGTCCTTTGTTCAGCTTGTTTGCCTATGCTTTCCACTATGCCACCTCAATATCGCAACCATTTGATCTTCAGCACAACAATGCGATCGGGAATATGGTGAATGATAGGCTGCTAAACGATCCGGTCGGGGAGCATGCTCGTCCCATTGTGCCCTGGAGCTTGTAGCAGATTAGGGTTCAACCTGGATTTGCTCGGCTGAGTTTTGTTGGAAAACATCATTGTGGATTCGCGACAGAGTGTCGGCAACCGTGTTTTCCTATCCGTGGGCACGATGAGTGACGCAGGGAAAACTGAGTTGGAATTTTTTTAAGAAGTTGTCAGCCATTATAAGTTGTTATACGTTTGGGTCACGTCGGGGTCACCAATTTGTAGTGGTCAAAGTCATGGTTTTACTCGATTCACTACAATCATCAGATCGAATCGGAGCTTGAAGGTAAAAGACAAAAGTTACCCGAGTGAGGGGATTATTGAGCACAGAACCCTGAGTTCCTGTCTCGCAGCAGTGGCCGCTGGTGGAGTTAAGGTTGATGTAGACTGCGTCCAGCCGCATCTGAGAAAGAATGAAACA